GGCTCTTTCAGCAAGCGGACCTGACCTAGGGCGGATTTTATATTGGGTTTTAAGTATTCGGAAGACGCAACATTAAAATTCGGTTTAATTCGGTTTTAAGGGGGGGATTGTATATATGTTCTGGTTTTAAATATGTTGTGCGCCGCCCTGAGTCCCGTCGGGAGAAGGGCGGCATATAAATTAAATTAAATAAATAAATTAAATAAATAAAATAAATGACAAAAACACATGGATAGACTCAACCATGGTGTCAACTGAGAACTTTGACCAAGCTAAATGCAAAAACATTAAGGAATTCCTGGAAGCTCGTCATTTAGACAAATCAGCCATCAATAGGCACATAGAGATAAACCATGTTTGCACATCATTCCAGAGGCGACAAAAAGCTAAGAAGAAAACAAAAAAGATCAGAATGCATCCTCTCCAGCAACCAACACCCAGATAAGCAGGGATTAACACCTGACAAACAATCAAGCAGAAAATAGTTAAGGAACTACCATAGAGAAACTCACACACTTAACTACATTGGCTGAGCAAGTTACTGTACATAAAGAGCGAGCAATCCCTACACTCTCTTGCATTGATTATGCTGGGTAATGAAATATTTGCAAGCAAACAACCAAGATCAGAGAGCACGTAGGATACCAAAGTTGAACCCTGAGCTATATTTACTCCCCCTCTATTGGAACCAGTTAAATATGAAGTTTTTTTTACCAAATGCTTTTGCATATTCAGCTAGACACATTAATTGATACAGAATACTCCCACCAATTTAGACCTTCAATTGTGCCAAAACAAGAGAATAATTTATTATTTTCATGGCGTGTAAAATAAGCACTAAAACCATCAAGCTAAGAACCAGATTTCTTACACATATACAGAAATTTATAACTTTGACAAGAGTTTATAACTTTGGAACGGGTGATTATGAATTAATGCATAGGAAAAGGGAGCATGTTCCACAGACCAATAACTCTGATACATTATATTCCCTGTCTTTTAGGATGACTATAATAATAAGAAATTGATTTGCTTGGCCCCCTTCAGACTAGTGAAGGATCTAACCTCTCTTTTCCTCATTCTCCCTACTAGAAAACTACAGACATTTCCAGTTAACAAATTATTCTCAGACATTAAAGCACACTGTGGGCCCAGTTATCATTAAGATGTTAAACCTGCCTGGTTGTGTGAATGTGACAAGTTGAGGTGGGGTGTGAATAATGGAAACCAGTTTAAAAAACCATGACTTCTTCCTGACACACAGCCTATGTTCCTTTCTATTAAAAAGATAAAGGTTTTCCTGTTAGCTCACCTCCGTTTCCTAGCCGAGGGAGTCAGTATTGTATGGAGATATTTCTTTAGTCAGGTAGCCAACGTGACTATACGCCAAAGGCACATGGAATGCTGTTACCTTCCCACTGAAGTGGTACCTATTTATCTACTCGCAATTATATGCTTTCAAACTGTTATGTGAGTGGAAGCTGAGGCAAATAATGGGAGCTAACCCCATTGCATGGAGTGTGGGTCTTGAACCTGGGATGTCAGCTCTCCAGCTCACAAGCTCAGCATCTTTAACCGCTGAGCCGTTGTAACCTCAGGTGATCACTTTTGAATACATTTCTTTAGTTAGATACTATAGAAATGATCCCTGAAAATATAGTCTTTCCACCATCCTCTTGTAATTCCAGTTGGCCAAAAAAGAATTCTATTCTGTCCTGTCCTGTCCTGTTCTCTCCTGGTCTAGTCTAGTCTAGTCTAGTCTAGTCTAGTCTAGTCTAGTCTAGTCTAGTCTAGTCTAGTCTAGTCTGTCCCGTCCCGTCCCGTCCCGTCCCGTCCCATTCCATTCCATTCCATTCCATTCTATTCTAGTCATAAGCATGAGTCAGGTGCCAAGTGTCTGAATTTTGATCACATGACCATGGGGATGCTGCAACAGTTGTAAGTGTGAAAAATGGTGATAAGTGCCTTCTTTTTTTCCAGTGCTGTTGTAACTTTGAATAGTTATTAAATGAACTGTTGGACTACTTGTATTTATTCTATTCTTCTCTTCTGAGAGCTGAATGCAATGAAATTTCATTTTAATATATGCTGATTAGTGTACATTCAAAGTGACAATAAAGTTATTATTCTATTCTATTCTATTCTATTCTATTCTATTCTATTCTATTCTATTCTGTTCTGTTCTGTTCTGTTCTGTTCTGTTCTGTTCTGTTCAGTTCAGTTCTGTTCTATTCTATTCTATTCTATTCTATTCTATTCTGTGATAATAAGTAGACTATGAGTCATAAAAATAGAAAGCACTTCATTTTCACTAATTATTTTAGAATATTGAAACAACTGAGCCCTACCAATTTATATCAAGTTAACTAACACTCCCCTCCTTTGATAATGGACATTTGGTTCAGTTTATTTTTGTTTATTAAATTTCTAAACTGCACATCTTGTCCAAGTGACTCTGGACTGTTTACAACAGATTTTACTTTATGTATAAAACGATATAAGCACATGAATAAAAGCACAGCTTAAACACAGAGTTAAAATTGAAGCCTTCCTTTCATTTCAAGGGTGAATCAATAATCTCTCTGTGATGCTTTCATTGGTATTCCTTTATGAGATGGAGGTTGGACAATGATTCAGTGAAAACTTTAGCATGATCAAGACATTGACTTAATTCATTTTTAGGGGAGTAAAATGTATTGGCTTAATAATCAAGAAAGGACCTGTGGATACATTTATATTTTATTTAAATATTTAGCTCCTAATTGGAAAAGTAACACGTGTATTCTGTCTTCGTAAATGTAGAAATATTAATAATTAACATATTTTGTGTAATTTGCAAAGTAGTATGTGGTCATATTAACCGTTTGGCCCATTTAAATTGGCCTAAAATCATCCACTTACTTTTACTACATAAGGATAAATATAAATTGTCATCTCCAAAAGCTTTACTCCCATCCGCTCAATAACTGTCCCAAATGCTACCACGTATTCCAACTCTTCTATATGAAAATTTTGCAAATTAAATTTTGATAAAGAACAATTTTTGCTATAACATAAACTCTCTCCCCGGTTTTTGTATGGTAAAACAGTCATATTAAATTACCTTCCCTTGATCAGACTGATGTCAATTTTACCACATCAAAGAAAATCTTAATGTAGGCTTGTGCCTTAAATGTGGAGATTCACAAAATGGAACTCAGAAGTAATGAGATGATAGATGATAGATAGATAGATAGATAGATAGATAGATTAGATTAGATTAGATTAGATTTTAGGAAGAACTATAGAACAGGTTACCACACAGAATGATTTCCTTTTTATTTTTTATCTCACCTTTATTATTATTTTTATAACTAACTCAAGGTTACATAACTAATATTCCTCCTATTTTCCTCATCACAACAACCCTGCGGGATGAGCTGGGCTGACAGAGAATGTTCGGCCCAAAGTTACCCAGCCAGCTCTCATGCCTCAGGCAGAACTAGAACTCCCAGTTTCCTGGTTTCTTTCCTGATGCTGGATAGTCATCCGATGGGGAAGATGTAGGGAATCCTGCAGCATTCAGTGGATTGGGCTTGATATCATCTGTCCCTCCAACTCTATGGTTCTACAGCAGGAGCCAATCTCCATAACGGCAGGATTAGGGATGCATCCCTTCTCATTATATTCTCAGTTTTACCAAATGTAGACAAATTCAGATGCACGGTCAACTACTCAACAGAACTTAGGAAAGCAAAATAAAACCAGTTCCTCTGATATTGGGCTTAGGTAACTGAAGGCCAACAGGACTGGAAAATAAACAGAAGTAAAGAAGAAGAAAGTTACATGCTTTTTCCAGGGTTTGTTGAAATATAGAAACAGGACAAATAAACTCAACGAGGAAAGATGATGCTCAAAGGCTGTGTGAACTTGGAAACAGAAAGGCAAAATCTAATGGACAGAGAGGAGATAAAGATTTCTGTTTAGAGCAGGGGTAGGCAACCTTGGCTCTTTTATGACTCGTGGACTTCAACTCCCAGAATTTCTGAGCCAACTATGCTGAGGGGAAAGGGAGAGGTTTCCAAGCTCAGGAATTCTGGGAGTTGACGTCCACGAGTCATAAAAGAGCCAAGGTTGCCTATCCCTGGTTTAGAGCATCCTGTTAGAGAAAAGATAGTCTGCAGGACTCTCTTGGCAGTTTCATTTGCAAAAAAGGATTTAGAAAGAGCCCACTTGTCCTCACTACTTCCCTCACTTCTCCAGAAAATTTGATCTTCGTTGTGCAAAACAGGTACATCACTGAGAGGAGACCAGGATGAAATCTTCTTCTTGAAAAGCCTGATTTCCATAGGTGTCAAGATTGCATTTAAACAGGCAACCATAGGATGAAATGATACCATCCAAAATCAGTTTTGTTTCACATGCAGCCATTGCTCAATCTGGTGCCGAAAAGAAAGAATGGACGGGGTGCAGGCAGGTCTTCTGTGGAAGGGAGGCAAGGAACCCCTTTCTTCTCTGTTACACGGGACTGGATTTTGTTTCTGAGGCTTCTGTTCCTGCTGCAGATTTTAACCAAGTAATCCATAAATAGCTGCTTTTTGTTTAGGAACCTAAAACAGAGGAATCAGGCCAAAAAAACATTTTGGCCTTTTTAGAGTGTCACCTTTTTTCCCCCCTTCTGTCAGAAAAAGATGTCTAAGTAAACGAAACCAGCGGTAACCTATGTCGCTTCTGGGTGTTGTTGTTTCTTGTTTGTTTTTTCTTGTGTTTAAAGTCCATTTACTGTGTCATTTTGAGGTCACTTCAGTTTGGGCACTAGGGGGTAGCATCGGGCTTTTCCATAGATGTTTGCTATCTACTCTTCAGGTGAATGTTTTGGGGGAGTACATCCCGGAAAGAGATACTTCAATTATATGTGTCTACCTAGGTGTCAAATATATTTATTTATTTATTTATTTAAAAAAAAAAAAAGAATGAAGAGAAGTTTAGGAACAGAGTTAGACTCAAAAAGCTTGAATCAAATGTAAAAAAAAAAATCAATCATCTATTTCAACTGATTTATGCCCAGACCTCTCCATTTATTTTCCATCACCGCGAAGCGAATGCCGCAGTTAGATCTCAATACTCTGTTTTCGAGGGTTGCAAAAAAAAAAAAAAAAAGAAGAAGTGACCTTAGTATCCCATATTAATATTTAATCAACCCCTTGCTTAGGCATTGCAAGCAATTCCCTGAAAATTAATTAGCTTCCAAAGATCCTTGTCCTTTAATGGGATTGTAATCCCCTTTTGAAAATTCAGATGAGGTAATCTGTAGCAGCGAGTCCTGGTTGCTCATAATTCTGACGCTTTCCCGGCAGCTGTTGGAAAGCGAAAGGTTGCAAATTTGCTCTTGAAAAGAAAAGGAAAGAAAAAAAGAGGAGAAGATTGGTTTCGCCTGTCCTCCTGTCCTTTGCCTTTGCAAATTGTCCTTTCCGTTGCTTAAATCTGACAGCAAACGGTTCCCTTACACCCCCGCCTCCGACTCCAGCAAATTACACAATTCTTCGGGGACTTTTCTTCACAAGGGACGGCCTTGTTTACAGGGACACCGAAAGAGACTTGCTGTATTTGACAGCCCTGGGATGGAGTCAAGTGAGATTAAGTAGAGTTTCCAAAGTAGGATTTGGGTTTCTCTAAAAATTGCATCTTAGATGGCAGCCATTTCTTTTCTGGTTAAATTGTTAAAAAAAAAACATTCCTTCATTCATTCATTCATTCAGTATGGTTGTCCACTTGCCAAACAACTCTGGTGATTACCAACTTTAAAAACAGCCCCCCCCAAAAAAAACACACACACATAAATAATAAAAATACAACAGTTTCTGTTGGAGCAGAACCAGAGTTAATATTACTGATGTCTATACTTTTTATTGTGGTTATGGACCTTATTTCTGCTGTATTATTTTGGCTACTCTGAGATAGAAACAGGAGACAAAAACCTGCTAATTCAGATGAAAGGTCTCTGCCATTTAACGTTCTGCTCTCACAGAGGTCAGCCAGAAAAAAAAAACTAGTAAGAGTAGAAAAATATGGTCTGGTTCAGGACATGATCCTGAAGGAGATGTTGTTCAGTGTCGCAAATTATAGAACTTAGTGACACCTCCATGAAATGAATAAGTGTCTGCACAATGACAAATTGATGAGTTGGAACAAATGGGTAAGATTTAAGCGTCCGCACATAAACCATGGAGCGTGACTGCATTCCTCTGATGATATACTATCATTCCTTTTGTGCTGATTCACTTTCAGGATGGAGGACATATTTATTTATTTGCTTGTTTGTTTACGGTGTTACTCCAGAACGCGACTGCTTCAAAACTCATTGAATTTGGTACTCAACACATTTTGATGCATTTTTGTTTAGTACTCGACATGTTGCGGTAGGAAGAGGGGGGATGGCTGTGGAGAACCAACAGAAAGTTGGCCATACTGGGAAGGTTGCTGCAAAAAGAGGGGGACTGCCACAGAAGGTGGACAGGAAGTTGGCCATGCTGGGAAGGTCGCTGCAAAAAGAGGGGGACAGCCACAGAGGGTGGACAGGAAGTTGGCCATGCTGGGAAGGTGTCTGCAAAAAGGGGGACAGCCACAGAGGGTGTACAGGAAGTTGGCCATGCTGGGAAGGTCGCTGACATAGGGAAAAGGACAG